GGAATATTATATTTGAACTTTTTAACTATTTCAGCTCGTTTTAATGAAGCAGATGAATATTCGGGAACTTCGTTTCGACACACTATTGTCGTCCACCTACTGGTATCTTTACTGAAACTGAAGAGAAAATAGTTTTAGATTGTACACTGGATCAGAACTAACTTTGGTAAAAGTGTGTCTTTTAAGCAGTCTGTTACAGGCTGCATACCATGTACATTATTTATACAATGTACAACATTCATTTGTTTTCTTTTCTGTAAAATCACCTAAATGTTGTGATGAACATGCAGGACGTGTACTGAACTAATAATGATTAAGAACTTTGATTGAAGATGTTTTTTGTAATTGAAGATGTATTTTTAAGGATAGTGGGTGATCTCTCTTCAAGGCTTAACTTATTTGCTACTCCTACGGCCTGTAATATTCTAATTTGAGTGGAATTATTGTCGTATTATACTTATTATTCAATGTATTTTTAAATTTTTAATTCATCGTCGGTATATTTTACTAATGTATTTATTGAGCAGGGGACTGGGGATATGGTTTTTGCCAGGGAGAACGAGGGGTTTTTAGAACATTTATAACCAGACTAATTTAATTCAGAAATGATAATCCTTCAGAAAACTGTACATATCAAATTCAAGTATCTCTAATATATTATACAAGGGGAACTGAAATAAATTGATTACATTATCCGCAATGTAACCGTGTGCCCTTTTACGTGAAGCAAATATAATAAGCTCAGGTTTTCACTCAGGTGGACGTAGAAGACCCAGCGCCTCGTTTCGATCGGTGGGCGAACTGGAGGACTCTACCGATTCTCATCATGACTAATTGTGTCACTTGCATTGTTCGCGTGAAACCCTCGGTTGAAATAAAAGCTGTCGAATATGAAAATTTTGAAATTTTTTGGTCTCCTCGCCGAATTATTTGCCGTTTGACCTCAGAGCACAACCAGTTAACATGTTTCACGAGAGGGTGGATCCACTTCGCCACGCATTGCCACTGGGTTTTGGATAGGTGACCAAGGTACTAAGGACGTGTTCGTAGTCTTTGAAGTACTCTACGTTAAGTAAGAAGGACAGCAGCACGTAATTAGGAAGCCTGGACTTTGGTCGAAACTTGGATCGAAAACACGGGTGGATTTGCCCGGCTATGTTTACAAGACAAGTCAAAAGCAGAAACACCTGCGTTGACTTAAGTGTTGAGAGTAACCCTCAGATCTTCACCACTGCAGAATTCATCATGATTCAAAGGCGGCTACCGAGAAATCGGAGCTTGCTAAGCAAACATTTGCTTCCAAAACTTGTAATTTCTTGGTGGTCGTTTTCTCCAGGTTGTAATCATAGCGATCTAGTCAAGTCGAGTCAATTTTTATTTAAACTCGCACAAAATGTCGCGTTCTGTAGCAAAATGCCCCTGAGTTAAGCCTTCATTTCTTATGTTGAAAACAACAAGAAAAACCACAAAAGCGACTTAAGCGACACAAATCTCGAGCATTCTTGCATTCATTAACTACTTTGCAAAAACGAGTCGTCCGAGTAATGACTTTTTCTGACCCTAGATCTCATTCTGAGCCACTGCTGAAGTCTCTCAGACTCCTAAAATTCTCTGATATAATTCATCTTGAAATTCTCTCTTTTGTTTATCAGTGGTACCATAAACTAAGCCCGTCTTGCTTTGCTAATTATTTCAACCCAGTATCTTCTACTCATTCATGTAATCTGTTTAGTATAATTTCAGAGCTGAGCAAAGAGTTTCCAGCAATCTGATTGGTCGAGCGGTTCCTTATATGACGCTATATAAACCGCTCCACGCGGTTTATATAAAATGTTAAAATAAAAAGTTAATAAATGTTACTAAAATGTTATGATTTTAGAACTTTCTCTGTTGTTCAGCTCTGAAATTATACTAAAACAATTATTCGCCTCTGGTTCGGTGAATATTGTCGAATAATCCCCTCGACTTCGTCTCGGGGATTACTCGACGATATTCACCTCGCCTTCGGCGAATAATTGTTAATTGTTAAATCTGTTCATACCACTCAAGACGGCATTCGTTCTCTCAGTTACACTGGTCCAAAACTTTGGAATTCTTTATCTCTTGATGTTAAGAAAATCAAGCCGTTTTCCAGTTTTCGTCAATATATCGAGAATTCTGTGATTAATGGCTATAATACTATAATTATTGATTACTAATGTTTTACAATTATATCATCTTAAACTATTATTTAACTAATGAAGTAATACTTTTTATCCAAAAAAACTTTTATAAAGGCTGATAGTTTCTAAAGAAACTGTTTGGGGCTGCGTCGGTGGGGGCGACGAAATAATTTGAATATATCAACAAAGTTGAAATGGTAAATTGGCCACCGTTACGATTATAAAAGCTGACGTTTCGAGCGTTAGCCCTTCGTCGGAGTGAATAGGGGAATTGGGTTGTGTTGGCCTTTAAAGGCAGAAAAAGGAGCTACGTGATTGGTGGGAACATGGCAACGAGAAAAACACGAATAAATTAGTGGAATGAAAAATTTATTCGTGTTTTTCTCGTTGCCATGTTCCCACCAATCACGTAGCTCCTTTTTCTGCCCTTAAAAGCACACACAACCCATAATTCCCCTATTCGCTCCGACGAAGGGCTAACGCTCGAAACGTCAGCTTTTATAATCGTAACGGTGGCCAATTTACCATTTCAACTTTGTTGATGTATTCAAATTATTTTATATCTATATTGCTTCCACTCATATTCTTGTTTTGGGTCACCTACTCGGTTAGTTCCACGAACTATTTAGGTGTCCCAAACTCTGCACAATGAACCTACAAATGAAAATTTATTTTCCTTCACAATCTCTTGATTTTTTTTTTCTTTTGGGAGCGAGCTGGAAGAGGTGGAGGCCTTTACATACTTGAGCAGCATCATCGACAGACAGGGCGGCACAGACGCAGACGTCAGAGCAAGATTCGGCAAGGCGGGGCCAGCATACTTGCAGCTGAAGAACATCTGGAGCTCCAAAGTGGTGTTAACTCGCACAAAGATCAGGCTGTTCAACTCCAACGTCAAGTCAGTACTTCTGTATGGAGCGAAGACGTGGAGGACCACTAAGACCACCATCAGGAAAGTGCAGACCTTCATCAACAGCTGCTTGAGAAGGATCCTCCAGATGCGCTGGTCCGACACCATCAGCAATGCAGACCTGTGGCAGCGTACCAACCAGCTGCCAGCTGACGAGGAGATCCGGCGTAGAAGATGGGGATGGATCGGGCACACCCTGAGGAAGCCAGCCAACAACATCACAAGGCAGGCGCTGAAGTGGAATCCCCAGGGTAAGCGAAAGAGAGGAAGGTCAAGAAACACCTGGCGCCATGACCTAATGATACCAACATCAAGAAGATGAGAAAGACCTGGAGACAACTTGAAAGAGCAGCCCAGGACAGAGCACTCTGGCGGAATGTCGTTGGCGGCCTATGCTCCAGGAGGAACGATGGGTCAAGTAAGTCATATTTAAAACACTAATTTGTATTATTATTCTGTGTGAGTTTAATAAAAATTGACTTGACTTGACTTGATCGCCATGATTACAAACTGGAGAAAACGACCACCAAGAAATTACAAGTTTTGGAAGCAAATGTTTGCTTAACAAGCTCCGATTTCTCGGTAGCCGCTTTTAAATCATGATGAATTCTGGTGCTTTTCTTGTTTGCAAATTTGATTTTCCCGCCATATTTGACGATAAGCCGCGGCCGGCAAAAAAAGGTTTACGAGAAACCTGACGAATAGTGAGCCCTTCCGCGTTCTCAGCAACAGATTTTTGTAGTTCAGTTTCCTCCCACTTATCAGTTGACTCGCGGCATCATGATTTCTTGTGCACGGTGAGAATAAAGGTTATTGTGTCATTAAAAGGGTCTTGAAGAAATTCTTCCCTAACCTCCCATCATATCCAACACATAAGAACACTGGACGTTGCGTCATTTCATTTATTTTACAAGTATCTACATGACAAATTCCGACAAATATAGCCATCATGACTAATTTAAGTGCTCTGGCATGATGAATAATTTACACCAACATAAGAAGTCTTAAATGAGCTATGCTGCGATAGTTTGAACTAATTTTTACAAAGTTCAATAGGAAGGAACAAAATTTAAAGTTGGACAGGATAAAAAAAACAACAACAACAGAGAGTTAAATAAAAAGCCGTACAAAAAAAAAAACAAAAAAAAACAATTGCCAACGATGGAGAAAATTAAAAACGATTGTAAACAAAAAAACCTAAAAAGTTGAACCACATTTTCTCAAGATGCCCCAGTTCTGACATAGCTCTTTAACCTGACTCCGTTGGATAGCAAATAAATAACATATTTTACACATTTAAGATTGTACTGAAGTCTGAGGTGTCATACGGCTTTTATCACACCGTAGTCAAATTCTCCACCAGGGGGAGACAACCCCATATCAGCTCCCTGCTTCAGAGCTAATACGGACTTGTATCCAGCAGACAAGGCTGACATATGATGGAAGAAAGCTTCTTTTTCAACTTGAACACTAAATTTATTAATACCGTATTCCTTGAAAAGCGCGCTGACCTGGAGAAAGAGAGAAAATTAAAAGATCAACCACTGAACCATTTGTGTTGAAACGTATGAATGCACAGTCAACAAAAATGTAATTTCCGAAGAGAGTTACTGCAAGAATGCTACATCCATCTGGCATAATCCCTAGAGGTAAAAACGGATTTTCAAAACTCAGGAGGGAAACCATTTGGCCTTTTTCTTGTATTGCAGAAATTAAGAAGACGGGTTTGACCATGAAACCAATCCAGTGATTACGGGAATGCAAGGCTAATAGATTTGCAAGCCCACCGAGTGCCACATACACACGTCACTGTAAACTAAAAAGACATTTCTGAGTTTGTTTAGTTGTTTGATGTTAGTTTTACTCTGATTTTTGCTTCATGCCGACCTGTCCTCTCTGAATTTATTAATAGCCCCGAACCTGTTGAATAATCCTCTGTTCATTTGCCGACGGAGCCACCTGTACGTGAATCACGCCAACTATTGAATCAGACGCGTGTCTCCAGAAATGAGGATCACGATAAGACAAAACACCGTCCAGTGATAAAATCTGCCGACAGTCAAAAACAACATCATTCGGATTAGTTACGATTGAGTTACAAGGAAACGAAATGTCATTTTTTTATCATTTAGAGCATTACGTTTACGTTGTACTTCAAACGAAGAAATCAAATGTCTTCTGAGTATTTAAAGAACTGTTTAAAGAATTATGGGAGAAGACCGGATTTTCCTATATGGTTTAACTCTTAATTTCTTCCATATCCACTCGCTCAAAAAAAAACACCATATGATCACTAAAAGGGAAGAACAAAGAAGACGTGGGATGAACGAACTTCCCATGATGTTACCTTTCTTAATCCAAACCAACTAGCATCTCAGTAAAACGTTGAACATTTCTAATTAGCAAACTTGCGCTTGTACCCTATTCTTATGAGAGGAGAGCGAAGGCACTGTGACTTCAAACTGTGTTATATCTAAGAACAAGAATCTCAAACCCCAACCCGCCCTTGAACCCGGAGTTTTTGACAGACAAACTTTCACATAACGTTCCACCTCGTAGCAGATGAAGAATGGTGCAATCTTCATATTAGACCCCTACCTTATTAAAAGCACTGCCTAGAGTTTTGTCCAAGTCTCCTGGTGTTCTTAGTAATAACACTTGCGAGGAATCCTGTAGGAGAGGAAGGACACTAAGGAAAATCAAAACAGCGATGAACAACGAACACAAAGGATCGGCGATGAAGAATCCAAATTGTTCAATGAGTACAGAGGACACTATGACTCCAACACTGCCCATGGTATCAGCAACAACATGAAGAAATACACCTGCGAAAGACAAATGTCCTGATCAGTTGAAAATAAACTTCCTATTTCTAACAGGTCAATGAGAATCAAATGCACTTCAGATAAAGGTTTCCTTTTCCTCCGCGGGAAAGAAGAACCCTTTAAAATTCGCCTCGCTTGCAACGTGTGGCTTTCCAGCTCAACTGGTGGCAGCATCCAACTAGTATCTGAGAGGCATGGTTTCAAATTCCGTCGAAGCCTGAATTGTTTTCAGACTTCCTCTCTGCAAAAGTTAAAATTGCATTTCACCAACGACGCTTTACTTGGTTTTCATTCACCAGTCAAATGAAATTTATTTCATTAAACATTGTGATCAGATGATGGTTTGTTCTAGAGTTCACAGATAACTCCAGTGGTGCATACAACTAATATCATTAGACTAACAACTTGTGACGCGGGCGGATTATCTCGAGCTAATGAGCAGAAATAAAAATTTTTGCCGGTGTATTCGCTGATAGCCTAGTTCCATGTTAGTACTGTAATTGTTGTCATTCTACCTTTTTTCTTTCTTTTTACTAATCGATCCGCCAAAACAGGAACTGCGAGGGCATATATTTACCGAACAACCAAGAAGTAAAAATTTCTCAATTTGCAGACGATACAACCATAATAACTAACAACACGGACTCTCTTAAATCGCATCTCCAAACAATTGAAGTATTCGGCACCGTCTCAGGCTTAAAGTTAAATAAGAAAAAGACTAAAGCAATGTGGCTGGGTACAATGAAACACAGTAATTCGAATATATTAGAATTCAAATGCACAAAGAACCCTATTAAAGTTCTAGGCACGTTTCTATCGTACAATCAAAATAAAACCATCGAAGAGAACTTTCTTAGCAGGATTCGAAAGATGAAAACTAAATTAAATCTATGGCTTTCCAGGAATTTGACGCTATACGGAAGATCATTATTAGCTAAAACGTTAGGAGTACCTCAGTTAGTCTATGCAGCAGCCATGCTGACTGTTCCACCTTTAATAATAAAAAAGGTTCAAACAGAGCTCTTTTCATTCTTGTGGAAAAACAAGAAAGACAACATAAGAAGAACGGTCATGTACCAAACTCTTGTGGAAGGAGGTCTCGATTTCGTAAATTTTTCTGTAGTAGTAAAATCGTTGCGCCTAGCGTGGATAAGCCGGTTATTAAGCAGCAGCACCGACTCGTGGAAAGCAAATCCAAATTATTATTTCAATACTTATGGAGGATTAAAATTCCTTCTTAAATGCAACTATAATGCCGCCTCCATAAATAGTGGTTTACCTACTTTCTATCGGGAGCTTTTACAATATTTTCAAGAGTTTAAAGATAAGACGAAAATATTTTCGTATGGCAAATTCCTGCTATGGAATAACGAGGAAATAACTATTGATAAAAATACGCTTTTCTGGAAATCTTGGTTTAAGAAGAACATCCTCTCTATACAAGATATCCTAAATGCGGATGGAAACTTTCTTACATTCCAACAATTTCAAAATAAGTTCAACATAAAAACAAATTATCTCCACTACTTCCAACTCATAGCAGCTATTCCAACTGACTTGAAGAAAAAAGCCAGGGAATGTGAAGCTCCCTTGCACGAGCTACTGAACACTACTACGATATCTTTGTTTTCCGGAAGCAATCTCGTAGATTTGGCACACATGCGCTGCAAACACTACTATAAAATACTTAACAAAATCCCCACAGTAGAACCAACTGGCATCAAAACCTGGAAAGTCAATTTTGCCGATACTCATAGAGAATGGAAAAACAAATTTTCTATTGTATATCGATCAACGAGAGACAACAAGTTAAGACAGTTTTCATTTAGATTATTGCATAGAATTATAGTAACCAAAAAAGAACTGCACAAGTTTCGTTTAACTGATGATTCAACTTGTACCTTTTGCACTAATTCAGATTCAATAGAGCATACTTTTCTGGATTGCTCCGTGACAAAATCTTTTTGTTATGAAGCGTTAAGGCGGTTTAACCGCGTAAACGAGACCGAAATTGAATTTTCTAAAGAGCAAATTACCTTTAATGAAATACCCGACTTTCATCAATTATCAGAATACCCAAGACGCAGACTACACTTATTTGTTATTCTTTTGAAACAGTATGTCCACAGTTGTAAGTGTCTTGAGAAAAAACCAATTTCGAAAGAATTCCAAAATAAAATGTTGATGCAATGGCAAATAGAGAAATGTGCTCTTCACTAATTTTGCTTCTCCCCTTCGAAAAATCAATACTTTAAAAAGGAGGTAAAGACTCGAAGCGATATATCTATAGCTATACGTAAGCTCTACTGTAATAATGTAGATTGTAAGTAACTCGTAGGTGCCTTTTGATTGATATTCTGTAATTTTTATTCTTTTTACTTGTTTTTTCCTTTCTTTATTCCTCTATTCTGTATTGTACTGTATTGTTTTTTTTTCTTCTTAGTTGTATTACGTTTTTTGTATTAGCCAATGTAATGTAAATTGTATATGTATGTGTGTGCATTAAAAAAAAATTATTATAGGTTAATTGTAACATCAAAACGATAGCAGTTATGCTGATTCAAATCTACCCAAAATGATGGATGGAGATAGGCGACTCTACAAACTATTCAGTACCTTGTCAATATTTTCTGAGTCCAACGGTACAACAAATGTGGCAAAATGTGCTTCCATTTTTCGTAAAATGATACATACAGTATTGGATCTTACATCATTTTCACACGAAAAGTCTCACCTTGCATGTTTACACTGCGATCATGATGATCATCGTGGGCGTGCCCGTGTCCATGTCCATGACTGTGACCATGATGACCGTGACCTTGGTTACCGTGGCCATGGTGACTGTGACCGTGTGAACTGCTACCATGTGAGTGCGCATGTCTGAATGCAAATATACCGACCAAATTTACCACAAGTCCCCCAACAGAAACAACCTACAAATAAGAACACATTCATCAGTGAAATTGGTGAGGTCGTTCACAGACTGGGCCTGAAATTTTTATTGGTTGGTCTGATGGCGTCCCATAAATCCCATCTAATAGACCGGTATCCACGAAATTCGTAAAACAACTTCATGTTATGATGAACTGAGAAGACAGAGAACTTGGACTGACTAGTGACTTCAATGAGACCAAAACTGAGATCCACAATAGGCAAACTATCAGGATTCGGGTAACAATGTTCGGATAAGAAAATGAATATGAAATTAAAACTCGAGGCAACCAACCAAGCTGACCTTAACCACTAGGCAGCAAAAGGCAAAGAAATAAGCATCTCGAACTTTTCAGATTTTGTCCTAAACGTTTCTACAGTAGCAACCCTCGTTACTTTCAGCTTGAACAGTCCTACCCTATACTTCTTGAGTACGTCGCCAATATCAGAAAAGGGAAAAGTCAATGTACATGGGCTGTTTTAATTGAACAACATCGTCGTACAAAGGAAAACCATAACAATTCTTATCAACAGAAAGAGGCATTTTCGAAGTTCTCTATGTCAGGGTCTGCCTTTTAAAGGTAAGAATCTCCGTTTTCACGGACGAAAAAACCTCGTAGCATTTGTCCATTCCGTTATTTTCTACGGAATTCAAAACTTTCGGAAGGTCGTCATTTTCATAGTGGACCCTTCTGAAAGACTTTCGCAAGAGTAAGTTAATTTAAAAATCAAACTTCGCTCTAATTGATTCAAATATGCTCTGAATACCCACAAAGCTGAAAAAAAAAACAACAATGACACTCCACTTGAACACTAACTGTACTTACTAATAATCTCTCAGTGTTAACTGTTGGAGGATCAAACAGGCGCTGAATTGCAGCAATGAAAACAAAGAAGGAGATTACCACCAAGAAAATACCATTTACAAAGCCTGATAGAATCTCCACACGGCCATAACTGTAAAGAGAGAGCTTGGGTTAGAATGATGCAATAAGCCTTATCAAACATAATTACGTATTTCACACAGGATGCTCTTTAAGAAGATCGGATGAAAGTGATAAAATACGATCATACGAGAAAACAAAGCTGGCGGACAAATTGATCCTTTATACAATAATATCAAAGTGCATATTCTCCAGACTGTTCCCTACATATTTCCTAAGGTGCCGACTAGGAGAATTTATTTAGCAATCAAGAGCCTTTTTAGCTGTTGATCATTTCCGTTATTCTCATGACCTGAGTGTGTGATGTGGGAATGACATTATAAGGAGAAATAAGATGCTAGGTCAAAGGTCAAATAAGATGCTAGGTCAAAGGTCAAATAAGCTGCTAGGTCAAAGGTCAAATAAGATGCTAGGTCAAAGGTCAAATAAGATGCTAGGTCAAAGGTCAAATAAGATGCTTAACAAATAAAAATCATCATGGGATGAACATTTTAATTTAGAGAGGATGATCAAAAGAAAAACCCTCAAATCACAACGTTTTTGGAAATTTAAGACATTGTGTCAATTTTCTGCATTACAGAATTTATTTCTACATGATGCATGCACATCCAGTGAACCACACAGATTTCACCAACTATTAATAACTGAATCCATTACCTACCAAATTGAGACAAAGGAAGTAAAAAATCTGCCTGGATTCTGACTGCTCCACAATTTGTCTCAGAAGACTTTGTGCTGTTGTCAGTACTGATTGTGGTGTTTGGAAGTTGTAGATTGGTAGGCCACCAGTGGTGTAACCAATCAGATTTCCTTTTGTCATGCGAGGAGATGGCCTTGATAATAACCTTGAGGCTAGAAAAATATTCAGCAGTTAGCTCTACACTCAACAGTGTACTGAGATAATGGTTTGTTCTTATTAACCATGTGGTGTGTTATGTGGTGTGTTATGTGTTACGTGGTGCGTTATCTGGCGTGTTATGTGGTGTGTTATGTGGTGTGTTATGTGGTGTTATGTGGTGTGTTATGTGGCGTGTTATGTGGCGTGTTATGTGGCGTGTTATGTGGCGTGTTATGTGGCTTGTTATGTGGCGTGTTATGTGGTGTGTTATGTGGTGTGTTATGTGGTGTGTTATGTGGTGTGTTATGTGGTGTGTTATGTGGTGTGTTATGTGGTGTGTTATGTGGCATGTGGTAATTCATTTAATTTATGATAGGGATTGGTGACCATGGGAGGACTAGGGGAGAAAAACTGTTCTAAATTGGGCTGGTTTGGTTTAACCATTCATTTATAATTCTACAATTTAACTAGCTGTTCATGGATGAGCAATGATAACAATCTGAGGTGATATCAGACTCTTGTTCTCTGGATATGGATATAGAGCAAGAGCTTTGGAAAAGAAGATTTTGAGAGGAAGTGGGCCTGGGGCCAATATGATAAATCACTATTCCCCCTTCCCCACTCATATCACAATCTGTTCACTTCGCCTTCATGTTCATTGGAACATACCAGGAAAAGGCAAACTGAAATCAGTTAAATACTAACAAGAACAGCCAGACAAAATCATATGACAGCCAATAATCTGCTTCATGTACCACCCTAATGAAACTTCTAAACAAAAAGTTAAGTAACATTTATATAAAGGAAGAAAGAAAAACAGCAAACTTACCCAGCACAAAGAAGAAGGCAGCAAAAAGTGTTCCAGCTGATACTAGATGTGGTTCAGATTGTTTGCCATGGTGCCATTCATGCATGCTCCATACCCATGGTTTATCCCACAGCAATGCTATGATCACAGCTGATAAGAAGGAAGCTATGGAGCCTATCTTTCCTGTCTTGAGTGATTCCAGTTTTGCCACACAGAAAGACTCAATGTAGAAGTCAAAAATGAACACAAGGAAAATAACCACAGCCAGAGGAATTATAGCGTCCAGCCAGTCAACATCTGTTGTCTGTTTAGCCATGAGGGGAAAAAAATGTATTGCTTTCAGTAGTGTATGAAAGCAATTCTCATAGTAGGGTTCTTTACTGCAATGACTGCTTTCATACATTTCATGACACCGCAGTACACATACCAGTATAGTATGATTTTCCTACCTTCAAATTTAATGATTTCTCACTTCGATGGGTTTAATACATACCAACATAATGACTAGCTCCCAGTTAGCTTGTTAGCTCAGTTGGTAGAGCACTGCACCAGTATCACATAGGTCATGGGTTCAAATCCCATACAGGCCTAATTCTTTTCAGGCCTTATTTCAACATAAGTAGAGTTCTTTACTGTGAGGATCGCTTTCATACATTTCTTGACACTGCAGTACACATATATGACTTTCATACATTCCAATTCATTGTTTTTAATAGGGTCTACTGTGTGTCTAGTGGCAGTTTTTGGCTAATTATTGAAGGGTAGTGGTAAATAACAGGATGGAAGGTTAAGATAATAAGCATTGGGCAAGAAAAAGCATGCACCAATCAGTTTATTTTTCAGTGGCAAGAATATGACTGTCATAGTACTTTGAACAAGCTCCATATTTGATACAGAAGAAAACTAACAATAATAGAAAAAATGATGTTTAGGATTCTTTGGTGCCTACTTTTTCCCTCCCTTACCTGAATCCATTTATGGATTGAGTAAATATCACATACTTGCGTGAAATTTGATAAAAGAGCCAAAGGAAGAAGAAGCACAGTTGAAACACAACTTGAAAGAGCAGCCAGCCTTTTGGCACCTGGAAAATGATGAAATAAAAAAAACAGTTAAATTAAATGCAGACTGTATTTTCTAAGGCTTACCTAGTAGTCTATGCATAAGTGTAGCTATCATTATGGTGAAGTACTATTAAAAACATAGGAAAGCTGTCATCTTTCATTTCATAGCAGTTAGCTTCATTGTTGTTGGTTTTCAGTCAACTATACTTGGTGTTTTTTCCATTTAAAGTGAAATTCCTCCCAGGGGTAGGGGAAGGGGGAGGGGGAGGGGGAGGGGAGAAGCAACATTGTCAATCAGCATCTTGATACCAAAATTTCTGCAAAGTTCAGCAAATTTCTGCACCATCACAACTGATGATGAAAAAGGCATGTGGATCAGATCTCAAAGTGAATATGCAAATTTGGCAATGAGTGAAGAGATCAAGATGAAAGTGAGCAAGAAATATTTCAGGAAAAAAGTTTTAATTAAAGCAGTTCTTAATTTGCCATTATAAGCATGTACAAAGCACATGCAGTGAAATTCATCGTGGTTGTATTGTTGTTTACTTGACTTTACAGCCAAAAAATTGCATAGCGTTAGGTTGAAAATTCTAAAAATGCAACAATTTGACATAAAATCTTCAATACTGTTCGAACATATTGTTGCTCACTCATCGTATTTATGGAATTGTCAAATTAGCCAAGCCTCGCTTGAAGTCCTAAAGTTTGGTTTCAATAATGTCATAAATGACTAAGTAGCAAAAGATATTAGTATTAACCATATGGTAAATTTCTTATTCTTGTTGTCTTGATGAATAATTGTACAAAGATTTAACTTGTCCTTTTTGCTGTGAAAAACTTTTTTCTGATAAATTTGGTTAAAAACAAGGATGCGTATTAGACATGGGCACGTATTATAGACGGGTAGATACGGTATGTAAAAAGGACAAAGTTTTCGTAACCATAGCCTATGCAATGCCAGTGTAAAAAAACAATTAATGCTTCACATTCAAAGGCAGAGGCACTCCTGATAAACTTACCTCCAATTTCAACTGCTAAGGTTCTTGAAACATTCTTGTGAGCAATTTTAAACAGAAGAACAAGAACTAAAAGAATCAGTCCACCCTGCAACAAGAAAAAAACATAAATAAACAAAAACAAAGCAGTACTTGAAATTACAATAAATTTTGGCAACATAAATTATCACTAAACCTTTTATCCTCAAAAAAAAATGTTCATTATTCTTATCATCAGCCATACATTTCTAATGTACAAGTAAGTTAAAAAATTGGGTCCAATCCAAGATTATCGCCAAGTTGAAATTCTTCATTCTTACTACCTGAGCCTCTGGTATTGTTCTAATACCATAGGGACTAATTACCTATAGGTGGCTTTTGGGAGAGAGAGATTAAACGCGTTACTTTCAAAACCATATTTCCACTCCTTCGCCTTAATTTGACTAAGATAAGAAAAGAAAAATTCAAGAGCAACAAATATATGTGTGGTTTTGACCACACATACATTTATTTAATTACTCTTAAGTTTTTAATTTTTTGGAATTTTTAGAATGTTTTAACACCCTAAGAATTCCAAAAGTGAAACAAAACAATTTCATTTGTTTTTTAAATAGCTCCTTCTGGCCCATATAGTTCATACCTTGTGGTCTGGTAAACCAAGCCAAGATAAAACTTGATAATACCAGTGAATCCACTGACTTTTATGGTGGCCCTCCGCTGATCACAAGTTAAGAAAACATCACTCCTAGATGTTAACCATTTTTAAAAATCAAACATCTTACTCTGACAATACACCAACACTGACTCTAAAATTAACAATTACTGACCAATAACTTAAAGTTTAGATACCAATAGATAATGAATTAGTTCATGTTTTATTTTAGATAGAAATAAAATATAAATTTCATACAAAGGGCTTGTAGTGGACAGCTACAGAAAAATTCTGCAAGGAAAACCTTCTATTCCCCAACCTCTTTGAGTCACACAAGCATTCCTTGGATAAGACAACTTGTTCTCTAATCTCTGTTTTATCTCAAGTTAAAAATTCACAACCTCTGAAAATCTTCAGTCATGACAAGAAAGTCATTTTATAAGTGAAGGCCAGTAACAACAATTATTGTTCTTATTTTGATTAGCATACATATCAAAACAACCTTATCTTGCAATGTTTTTGATATCAAAGCCATGCAAGTTATAGAGTTCAACAGGTTTTTCTGGACTGACTCATGTCAACCCATTCAGTCCTACACACATCAACTTTCATTACCATTTTCTAAAGGAGTCAATATTAGTTATAAACATCAGTATTTTGAAGTAAAGTTTTCTATATACAAGGATACGATGGCTCAAACTTGGAGAATCATTATCAAACAGCAGAAGACACAGAATTCCTAATAGAAACAGTACAGATCCTCGCACCTAACAACACAATCAAAATAAAATAACAAGTTAAAAAGTTCTTAGCTTATGGAAGCCTTCCAAACGATATTCTCTTTCACTATTTGTCTGTCTGTCTAGCCATTGGTATTTGACTGATCCAATGATTCATTCACTCGCTTGTTCATCGATTTATTCATTTAAAATATTTTTTGAAAATCTATAAAAATCTAACATCCCTTGATTCAAGGAGTTCTAAAGACATACAGGTTTCCAGTGTTCCAGAGAAGAGTATGTTATCTACACAAGCTCAACTTTCTTAAAGTGCACCTAAACCCAAAAATTTTTTTTCGCTTAACGAAATAAGACTAGTGTATTTTTTGGAGTATTTCTGTGCAAACATTTTTTTATTTGCTCAAATCTTCAATTGTCTGCGCCCAGTCAAAATACGGAATATCGGCCGCCATCTTGCCCCACAGCCGAGTTTAAAGAGGAATGGCTCTAGCGGGTAATGTGACGTCAAATCGAGAACACGAAAGTCTGCATTTCACACATTTTCGCTTGTTTAGGAAGGTTGTAGTCGATTTTGTCCGAAAATATGCCGACTAAGTGTGTTATAGGAGGATGTAGCAACGTGTGAAATTTGCAAGAGGGTATCACGCTTCATACATTCCTCATACAATACACCTGGTCGGCATATTTCGGACAATATCGACCACAACCTTCCCAAACAAGTGAAAATGTGTGAAAAGCAGACTTTCGTGTTCTCGATTTGAAGTCACATTATCCACTAGAGCCATTCCTCTTTAAACTCGGTCGTGGGGCAAGATGGCGGCCGATTTTCCGTGTTTTGACTAGGCACCGAAAATTTAAGATTTAAGCAAATTAAAAAATTTTTGCACAGAAATACTCCTAAAAATAAGCTTATTTCGTTAAGCGAAAAAAAATGTTGGGGTTTAGGTGCACTTTAACCCATCAACTCCTGAGGGTCACTAACACTTAATTTCTCACCAACTTATCACTGCTGAATCAACCATGAAGCGCATGAGAATAAAGGAAATGATCCCAAACATGAAAAGCGCTAGATTTTTAACTAAATTCTCCCTTTCAGTTCCATGGGAAATGACTTATGTAGAACAGCATGGAGAATGTACAATTACATGCTGATGTTAGGGTGTAAAGGGTTCAGATATTAAAATCAGTCATTAAACATTTAATCCCTAGGTGTGAGTAGCATCTAATTCCTCTTTACAGAACTACCTCTGAATCAAACATTAAGATATGGAAAAGAAAGGAAATGATCATCAAGTAAACAAGATCTTGATTGTTACACAAATTCTCCTTATTACTATCATAGGATAGAAAAAGCGAACAGTAAGGAGAGTAAGCATATTGACATTAGGGTGTAAAGGTTGAAAACTATTGGAGTTTATAGTTCACCACTCAATTTTCTCTGATTCTTATTGATTTAAATTGATCACATGATGCGATACTGTTCATCCATGGAGAGACACTATCAGCCCATAGTGTTGGTCCACGGAAAACACACGGATGGATAGTGCCCGTCCACGGAAAATACCTGGATGGATAGTGCCCATCCGCGAAAAATACCCAAATGAATAGTACTCATCCATGAAAATTTTTGAATGGTTTGACAGCCGTGAAGTTAGGCAGATAAAAAAAAACAGTGACTTCCAATTCTGACAGGTATAACATTTTATTTAGCCAATGTATGGTTGCGAATTGTTGACATTTGTGACAGGCTGTATGCACGGAAGAAAATTTAGTGGTGAACAATAAAGACAATAGAGTGTTTATGTCTTGGAACTATGGGTCTAATAGTTGCCCCTTGGAAATTTGATGTTCTTAAAACTAGCATATTTGCCCTGGGCAACTATCAGCCAATAGTTCCTCAACAGAAACACTCTATTGTTTAAGTAGGTGTCAAGCATAGAAAGAGACAAAGGGTTATGGTCAATCTACATGTATGGAATTTACCTTTGATGGACCAGTACCACCAGAATGAAAAAGAACTCCTAATGCTGCTAACACCACAGCATCACTGTGTTCATAGAGTAAAACAGTTCTGTGCAAAACAAGAACAGATTGCAGTGAACTTACGTCTGACTCTGTGATAACTGTGAAGATGTTCCCTTTGTTATATGGCTTGTTTAAAATCTCTACTATAACAGATACATTCTGTATACCATTTTTCCCCTTACAGACTCTCACAGAACTACATTTATAATGATGTACTCTTGTACCCTTTCACTCCCAAGATCTCCTTAGTAATTCTCCTTACTGTCTGCCATACAGTTCTTATGATATTAGTTTGGAGAATTTTGTACTGGATCAATCTAAAATCCCCTAACTGATATTTTTCTTTATTCTCGTCACCTGTTTGGTAGATGTTGTATTGATATTGTAGGGAGAAATTCTGCCTTGGTCACTCATAGGAGTTACAGGGTTAACAACCCTTTGACCCGTAGGAGTAACTAGCATCTAATTTCTCCTTACAATATCACCCTGAAATCAAACATCAAGGTCACAAGAATAAAAGAAATGATCACCAACAGAAGAAGCTCCTGATTGTTACACAAATTCAAATTGTAAACACCTTGGGAAATGTATAGAGAATAGCAAGGAGTATATGTGTACAAGATGTTGAGGTTTCAAGGGTTAATCAGAACTAAAGTGTATAATTACTGTTAGTAGTTTAAATGGTTTACTACTCACCTTAATGCACCACAAAGGGTGAGTCCTTCAAGCCATATCAGACCTATTACAGTTGATACTAAACCATGTTTGCCAATCTTGTACCACTAAAAAAAATGATAACTGTACATTTTAATCATCTCTAGGAAGTTTCCATCAGAATTCCATCAATCTAAATTCAATGGAAAATAAAATTGTTTTACCGTCATCAAACAAGAAATGGCAAGTAGTTGTACCTGATTGGGGGTAATTTTCTTTCCTGATGACACAGGTCTTTGCAATATGACAAGGACAACAGTAGAGCTGAAAACAGGACAAACAAAAATTCAGTCACTTGAATAAAGTAACATCTGATGTCAAGTTAAAAAAAAATAATTTAAAAATAAAATGCTTGTGGTATCTTTAAAAAGGTACTTACCAAAGCCTAACAACAAATAAGAATTGAACAACATGGATGACTTTCAGCTGCTCATATGTAACAAATAAACCAAAGGCATGAAGAAATTTAGCAACCACCAGGGCTATTACATATGGTGTAGTCCTGCAAAAAACAATGTAAAAAAAATACTGTAAGAGTCAACCTTAAAATCTGTAATACCAATAAATACATCTTATTAGACATTTTGTTGTGTAGTATCGCTAAGTATTTTTACAAGTTGTGTCATATTCTGACAAGCCCATAATAAGTTATTTATTATCCAACATGCCAAATTGTTATTTCAGTGCACGAGAATTCTGCGGATATTTATTTACAGGGAGCGCATGACAGAAGTTTGTGAAGCAGAACGGAATTGACACACTGTCATGTTGCTGTTTCTATTTTCTTCAATAAATAATGAAATTTCAATATTGTCTGACTGCTTTTCTCTATTCAATTTATCTAATAAACTTGGATCAATATTTGCCAGCCATTCCGACTCTTTGTGGTCAGAAAAATAATTTAAATTATCAGCCAATTTTTTTTTGTAACTTCAATCCAATTCATTGCATATGTGATGCAAGAAAATCTGTCTAACTGGTTCTCTGGAGTACAAATACTGCGTGATATTTGTACTCATCTTGGGCATTATTTGTACTCTACAGATGTGTAGTTGGATAATAATAAGCCTTATTATCCAACTACACTCCACAGAGTACAAATAACGCCATGGACGAGTACAAATATCACACGTTATTTGTACTCCAGAGAACCAGTTAGACAGATTTTATTGCATTACACATGCAAACAATTGGATTGAAGTTATGAAAAAAGAAGTGGCAGACAATTTGAATTATATTTCTGACAATGAAGAGTTGAAATGGCTGGCAAATATAGATCCAAGTTTATTAGATTAATTGAACAAAGAAAAACAGCTAGACGACCAGGAATTTTTTTCATTTGTTGAAGAAAATAGAAATAGTAACACAACAACATGCCACTTCCGTTCTGCTTCACATACTTCAGTCACACACTCCCCATAAATAAATATCTGCTAAATTCACCCGCACTAAAATAACAATTCGGTGTGTTGGATAATAAATAACTTATTAAATTTTTTTTCTGTAGTATCGTTGAGTATTTTTACTTGTTAATTGTATATTGACTCGCCCTATGGGCTTGTCAAAATATGGCACAACTTGTCAAAATACTGAGTGATACTACACAACAAAATTCTAATAAGACATATTTATTGTATGCTTATGTGGAAATATCCAGTTTCCCCCTCTAGCCTCCCCTTCAAGGTGCAGAGCCATGAATTTTAATTAGAAAGTATTCCCAAGACACTGGAATGTTCAAAAGAATACCCACAACAAAATAACAAGAAAGCAGCAAAGATACATGAAAATTTTAGTGCAAACAAGGCTTTTGGTCAGTTTTCAGTATATCATATCATCACCTATAAGATCTATTGATGATGATGATGTTGATTGCAATAACAGTGATAGTAATGGCTAACAAAAGTGGGGTTCACCATACATTGAACAGTTCCATCTTCACACCCAGTTTCCCTAATTGACTTATTTTTACTCTCATTCAGTTCTTGCATAGTGTGTTGTGCTCTTTCTGGGCTTACCCTTGGTAATAAGGTTCTTTCATTAAAATTTCAGAATGATTTTAAGTCAAAATAAACCAGCTATATGAGCATCAGGGTAGTTTGTTGATGTGACGATATAGTTTGAAAAGCTTTTACTGACAGTAGAAGTTTTTGAAGAGACCATTAGGCCTTAGATTTCTCTGAAAAAGGCCTTGATACACTTAACAGTTAGAGTATACTGTAAAAATTGTCTTTTGTCCAAACTCAGTTGACGAGATATAACACCCATTACCAGTATGAGTACTTCTAATTGATTTTATTAGAACAGATCCTTTTTTTGATGGCAGGTAAATCAGAGCCAGAATACTTCCAATGGCACCTCTCTGGGTTTCTGCTCGATTTTTCCGAAACAAAATTAAACCTCAGTCACTTACAACTACACCGTCCCGTTCAGTTTTTTCGTTCGAATAGTAAACGAAAATATAAACATGGCTTGATGCAGAGTTCATTTGCACAGAAATAGATTTCTAAGCAGTTTGTATTCATCTCTTTCGTAGAAATTAAAGGTTATATTTATCTCAACACATTTGTCGTGCATATTCAGTTCACTGAGTTCAATTCGTTATTCTGAATTGGAGGCTTTCGACTCATAATTCCTATATTTACCAAGTAAGTTTATTTTAAAATATTTTGTATTGATTACGGTGTTTAAAGGCGATTTAATTATTGTGAAAGAAAATTTGATATTGAGAAACAGTTCAAACTATTAAACTTACACTGTGTATTGGCCAATCGGTCCCAGCTGACGCTTGTTAAAAAGCAAATGGTCGGAATACATCTCCACATCCTCCATTTTGAACGAAGCATGAGCTGGCAGAACAAATGATAGCAGCCGCTGACCTAACGCTCTCGCTCTTTTGCTTCACTTCACCCTTTATTTACACCCTCTAGACTACTAACATTAGTAGTTACATTCTCTAAACTGCTATCTTTACATTTCATATGGTATTGACAATGAGAATTTGCGTATGATGCACGATCCTCGCAGTCGAGGGCGCTATTTATGCAATAGCGAAAATCAGACCTGAAAAAAATCAGGCCTGTACGGGACTCGAACCACTGACCTCTGCGATACTAGTGCAGCGCTCTACCAATTGAGCTAACAAGCCAACTGGGAGCAGGCCGTTAAGTTGATTCGTAATATTCCCCTTTGGGTTAAAGGAAAATGTCACACTTGAAGGACCCTGTGAACTGGGATGAAAAGGATTCTGAGAATCTTTCTCATTCCAGATATCGAGGGTCATACACAAGGACAAATTGTGTGGAAATTGACATCTGTAAGTAATACCGAGGTACTTAATTGTTGACCTAACTCAGTGACTGTAAGAGCATGGTCATATTTTAAAAAATACCACAATTTTAAACTCGATAATGCCTTTGTCTTGCTACCGTTATCTTTCAAACCAGACTGAAGAGTCTCAGAGCCCTCAGAACCCAGATATTGGCTTGAGGTCTCAGAATGAGAGCTGATTTGTTTTAGACAGTATGCGCAGCTCGATAACTAAAAGCGGGCACAAATGCTGGTGGTCTTGATTCTTCTAGTATCTGCCACCATACACCAGATTTTTCCTTCACTACTTAACCGGACTCAAAAGAGTTCATATCTGGGCGGGTTGGCCAGCCAAGCCACCGTTTATTTAACGTCAAATCAATATGCTAACAGAAGTCGATTACAGTTGAAGTAAACTAAATGCACCAAAGCCGGACACGAAAACCACTAAAAACCAGCAGGTGGAAAAAACGGGGAACGTGTACCTCCAACCAAGGCAGCGGTGCTACCCCTGGGGTTTTAGGGTATGCTATGGATGACATGCATATTTTTACATAGTTACTTAAGGTACTATGTAAGTACTGCTCTAAATTTATACAAAAGACGAAAACGAAAAGCTACACACGGTGAAGGCTGACCGTAGAATGCCTTGCCCTACTAACGACGCCTACTTACAAACCACGATCCCATAACTCTCTGCATACCTCACAGCCACCCCCAGTCCTCCGATACGTGCCAGCAAAATATTAATTTCTGCTAATTAGGATTACCACAAATTACATTTTCTGCGCATTCTCTTTTATTATCACGATCCTTTAAATCTTATTTGAAAAACAATGGGGAATACAGTTCATTTCAGATCTTGTGTGCGACCCATTGACCCGTGCCACGCCAGGTGATTTTTAGACAGACTACCCTCTTCCCCATTCCGAGAACGCAAACCAAGCCAGAATGATACCGAACCATGGTACAATTGGCGCAATTTTCAGTCGAGTGTCGAAGGTAATGCGACATCCCTTTGCATGGCTTTTCTTCTCTGAGCTGTGTGCTAGTTCCAGAGATCCTGCGCCTCTTTTTTAACCAAATCAGATTTAAAACTTAAACCAATCGCGAATAGATCACTCATTTTCCCACGTGAGGAGAAAACTAATTTTTAGTGGTTATGTCACTGTTAGGGTCGCTGGTGATTTTGGTGCTTTTTTTTTTTTTTTTCGCTTCTCGAAAACTCTGATAATGCTTAATTGAGATCTACCTTTTCTACTCCGTCGCTTGGAGGATCATTCTCCTTGTCATGTTTCCCTAAAACACGGTTCGTGATTTCACCAACAGTGAAAAATGCTTGCTAAACTGTCACGAAAAGCATAATCGCAATTATTAAAAACTGGATCAGTGGATAATGCAATTCAAGACTTTTTATTGACATAGCCATTATGGTATATGAGCCAATATACCATAATCTACAAATATGGTAAGCGTACGCGTCAGTTTAAAATCAAAAGGGAGCTAAAAAATCCGGTTTCTCCTCACAAAATAATAATTTCTTGAGGGCGTTTTTAATAACACAATTATTCCACTCGCGCTCATTGGGTATGAGATGATTATAGCCAAGTCGGCGCTACGCGCCTCGTTGGCTATCTATCATCTCATATCCAACGCGCGCTCGTGGAATAATTGTTAATTATTAAAAACTAGATCATTGGATAACGCAATTCAAGACTTTTTATTGGCTTAGCCAATATACCATAATCTACGAATATGGTAAGCGTACGCGTCAGTTTAAAATCAAAAGGGAGCTAAAAAATCCGNTTTTTTTTTTTTTTTTCGCTTCTCGAAAACTCTGATAATGCTTAATTGAGATCTACCTTTTCTACTCCGTCGCTTGGAGGATCATTCTCCTTGTCATGTTTCCCTAAAACACGGTTCGTGATTTCACCAACAGTGAAAAATGCTTGCTAAACTGTCACGAAAAGCATAATCGCAATTATTAAAAACTGGATCAGTGGATAATGCAATTCAAGACTTTTTATTGACATAGCCATTATGGTATATGAGCCAATATACCATAATCTACAAATATGGTAAGCGTACGCGTCAGTTTAAAATCAAAAGGGAGCTAAAAAATCCGGTTTCTTCTCACAAAATAATAATTTCTTGAGGGCGTTTTTAATAAAACAATTATTCCACTCGCGCTTGTTGGATATGAGATGATTATAGCCAACTCGGCGCTACGCGCCTCGTTGGCTATCTATCATCTCATATCCAACGCGCGCTCGTGGAATAATTGTTAAATAGCCTTGAGAAAGATTTGAATGATGTGTCCGCGTTAACTGACGTCACAGAGGCAAATCAAATAAACAGAAGTAACTGATGCTGCGCGCGCGGTTTTCTGATTGTTAATCAGTGAAAGTTGAATTTCGGTGGTAGTTAAAACTGTTACTGAGTTGACTTAAAAAAATAACCAATCACATGAAAATAAACAGTCACTTCAACTTCGGTCTATATTACACACCTCTTTCTAAAAAGCGGTCATTGATCAAATCCTCTAAATTCACCTATCATAGGAACTGTTAATAGAAAAAAAGGGGTTTCTAAAGAAACTGTGTTGCTGTGTCGGTGGGGGTACAACAAGATAATGTGATTTTATAAACTGAATAGATAATGTAAATTGGCCACCGCAACGTTTCGAGCGTTAGGCTTCGTCTGAGCGAATAGAGGAAATGTGGGTTGTGTGTGAAATGAAGTTACGCTATTGGTGGGAACAAGGTAACGAGAAAACGAGATCAATTAGTTGAATAAAAAGCCTTCGTTGATACCGTGGAAATTAAGAGTGCCGATTTGAAACATACATTTTTGTTCAGGAGTTTTGCAGCTTCCTGAACTACCTAGATGTAGGGAGAGGGCGGCAGACAGTCATATGCTGCTTAGAATGATTTGGGAGATTAAAGTGTTCAGCGATTGATTTGACTATAAATAGCCTTTTACAGATTTCTAACAAGTCAGAGATCTGGTGCCGAATAAAGGCCCGAGAACGAGGCTTAGTCGACGGGACGAGAAATGTAAAACCAGGGTAATGAAATATAAATGCTTACAGGAATAAAAAAAAAAGCACCGAGCAAAGATCTCCGCTCGGAATTCAACGTGTGCGAGGTAAAATTATTTGCCGGAGAGTGAGGTATTCACGATGGCGGCAATGAAGCAGAGAATGACTAGCTGACTGTGCCGAAGACCACAAAAAGCTGTTGGATCAGACATTACAGACAATTGTGGGCGGAAACAAGTTTTAGCACAGGAAGAACAAACCGTAGGGTTGAAAAAACACTTCACTAATTGAACTAGCATTATTTTAACTATTTCCGGAGTTATGTTCTTTTGGAATGAAATGGAATATGAAAGTTATTTATACTGAAGTAACTTCAGGGTTAGAATGATCACAACAAAGCAGCGTTAAAAGCGATATACTTATTAGTGTAAGCTAGTTCTATGCTTTCATTGCGTGTTTGATACTTCAGTCAATCATTGGTACTGTTTGGTATTAGCAATAAAAAGGGAAATTTTTAAGATATACAAGATATTTGTGACTGTTCCGGAAGCTTACATCAATCAAATGAAACGCAAGTGAGATTTTCCATTCATATACTAGAGGATGGAGTGTTCGTCTCGATTTATAATGCGTCTTGTACCCGCTCGTCTTTATACTGAAAGAGGTATAATCAGACGAACTACAAATGTTTGTACAAGTTTGTCCAGACGGATAATGCGTCTTTAGTTTGGAAAAGGCCATTGAATGGCGAAATAAATGTCTTGAGGGCAGCAATTTATCTATCTGTAAATGAGCTGAAAAGGATGTTGTCTTGTCTTCCGTTCTCTAGCTAATGTGGTGATGGATTCTCTTACACAGTGCCATGTGTACTACATTAGTCTTTTTCCAGTATCAGATCAGCGCGGCTTACCACATTCTTTATATAGTTTTTGCTAACTATCAGGCGCACGTTCGTACATCAGGCAAGCAAGGCTACAACTTATCTTGACATCAAACGTTCCGTTTTCACGCGCTTACATTAATCACAAACTTGCTCGCATACTGAAATGAAATCCGTCATAAAATGTAAATGAGAGTCACTGCGTTAAAATGTAACATCTTTACTTGATCTTGTGGTGCGGAGTCTTCCAGATTCTTCCGTGTTCAAACCCCTCACTATGATAATCCGTGTTTATAAAACATGTTTGCCGAGTAATTCTCGTGTAGTACATTGTTAATTTTCACACTTCAGGACATTCATTAAATGCACATTACCTTGAACTTGCTCTCACAAGCAGTCTGAATGTACAATTATCTGATAAACCCCAAAAAACGGGCAACAGACTTGCCGTCAAGATTAAACTTCGTCAATGTTAATTATTTGGTCAGAATTTTGAAAAACCCAGGCAGATGTTCCAACAATCGTCCCGCTTAATTCGTGATTAAAATCACAATCAGCCTGAACTCAGAAACATTTCAAATTAGCTTTAAATGGTTTCAGGGGCAGGTATTGTGAAATAAATTTCTAACTGTTTCACAGAATGTTTGATCGCTACCTCCTCAAATTGGCCTTTCAAAACTGTCGAAAAAGCTTCGATCGTTCAAAAGCCCTCGTTGAGTTTAGTCTTTTCTCCTCCTTACGTCAGAAGTTGTGATTGGCTAAGAGGTGATAAAGATCAATTGATTATAACAGTAAGTGACAGGTGCCAGTCGTACGACAGATGACCTCCGCAACTAACCAAACATCCGTTGCCGTTAATAATAAATAGCCAGAGTTTTCCGTCGACTCTCGGTCAGATTTCTTTCACGAAAAAGTTGGGAGCGATGCGATGTTTCGAGTTGTACGGGCTTTGGGCCTCGCCAAGATCATAATATATGTCTTCGTCGCAGCGTGGCCCAAACAGAACAGCGTTCACGCCCAGAAGCTCGGAAACAACAGAGAAAAAGTCTACACCAACGGATGGGCGATACAGGTGGAGGGTGGAATTGAGGTTGCCAAACGAATTGCTCGTTCTCATGGATTTGACAAAGTTGAACCAGTAAGTACCAAGTAAAGAATGGATTTCACGGGGTTCTTTTCACTGCATGTTATTGCAGGATTTACAAGTACTTGCCGGTCGTTTTTAATATAAATTTGTAGTATTATGTGTTTTTTTTGCCTGCCTGGCTCTCAAACACTGGCCACCGGGCGGCAGGTCAGACAACGAACTCGGTCAACAACAAATCTCGATATTTTCCCAATCGCCGTGAAGTTGTTCAGCACAGAACTTTGTCCGTCCTTATCTCACTTTGTTCTCTCTGTACCGGCACTTTTCAGGGAAATCCGGTGCTGTAAATCAACAAATAAATCGTCAAAGTTTTTACACCCTACAAAGCCGATATTAAATATTATGAGCTGGTTGATTACGGAGCGATGTTTCCCTCTTTAGCAACGAATGCAACCACATGTTTGAAACACCTTTTCGCCTATATATTAACAACTGATTCAATTCATTATCTTAACAACTCTGAAGTGATTCAACACCTTCCTCTAGATGCAAAATTTAGAAAGAAACGAGGATTTTTTCAGGTGGAAGCTCTTTTTCTTATGTGAACTCTGCCGGTGACTTCATTACCAAACTTCGACCTACATTCTTGACACTGATTCATCTTCAAGTCTTGACTAGTGCTACCTTGGTGCGAAAAAAATAAAAGTTTTCAAATGCCATTCTTCAACGAGACACTCCCCACGATCCACTGATTTTATCAAAACAGCTGAACATTTTTTAAGAACGTAAATTTCGCCATTGTCTTTATTGTCAAACTCCGGAAAGCTGTAAAAACATTCTGCTACAATTCGGATCTAATGTCCAACCTAAACGTCTAAAATAGAGGTTTATATTGATTTATTTTATTTTTATGACTTCTGCCGGTTGAAAATTACAAAAATAAACTATTGTTAAAGTCTACTTATTATTCTAAAAGGAACACCAACAGTCCTGGGTATTCATAACAACCAACAGGAAATTGATAGTTAATCATCGAAAAATCCACTTACTGAAACTATAGTACATTGGAAGACATTCTTTTCAAAGTTAGCAACTGCAGCCTGGCAATGAGTCAGTAAATTTTTCATGTCCCTGATAAAATGTTCTGAAGTAGTAATCATTGAGATTAGTTAAATAAATGTCTCAGTTTGACATTCCGTCTACATAAAATTTTTTCTTAAGTTCACCAAAAATTATTCGATGCACTAGGAAAGAAGTGACATCTGTTCATTTATTTATCCGTATCAATTCATCATTTGCAGATTGGTACTTTGGAGGGCTTCTATCATCTGGAACATGCAGAGTTGCCGCATCGCTCCCGCAGGAGTGCAAATGAGAGGACAGAACGACTTACTCAGGATCCGAAGGTAAGATTCACCATTCGCCATGCCCTAAAACATGCTTTACGAAAACTAAGACTTTCTTTCTTGTTCAGTACCATCACCGTTTTTTTCTTTTTAAATGGCTCAGAAAATAAAGGTCTGAAGCGGATTTACTTTTTACACCTAAAGGAAATTTGAAAAAGTATTGTTGCTTAAACTAAAAAAAAACTTTATGATTGATTTACTGCATTAGCCAGTAAAGTAAGAATCAGTCAGTTTCGGAGTTGAAATGTGCATTCGCAGTGAGGTTTAATCATGACCAAAGTGATACCATGACTCAGCCCAGGTTTTCATAACAATTATAATTTGGTTTACAGGTAATCTGGGCGGAACAACAACACGAGAAAATCCGCGTCAAAAGAGGTCACTTTCACGACCGAATGGTTGCCAGAGGGATCCTGCCTCGATTTACAGACCCTTTATGGGATGGACAGTGGTATCTGGTGAGTTATTTTGACTCAAATCGAGTTTTATCAGTTCACAGGGAGGAAATCTTTTACGGCCGGAAGAAATTTCCAGGGAACAGTTGGAGATATTTTGTTAACTAAATATTTGGCGACAAAATAGGGAATTTTTCATGAATAGATCGAGAGATTAAAGAAAGATTAAGCTTCTCGCCTCTCTTTTGGATTGTGTCATGTTTCATAGTTTCCACTTTTTCCCCCACAATCCTCTTGAGAAATCTGGTATCAAACATGTGACGTAATCACAAGATAATTTAGTTTAAACTGAGTTGATAAAACTGTGAAGAGTTTCTTAAGTCGCTGTTGAACCGTTAGCCCTAACACTCGAAACCTAAGCCTTAGAAATTCTTTACGGTGGCCAATTTTCATTATCAACTCAGTTGATAATACCAAATTATTTGGTAATGCCCTCACCGACGCAGCACTGCAGTTTCTATAGAAACTTACCCCGGCCTTTATTCATGTGACGTAATACGTTCCGAAATGGCGCGCTGTGGGAAACAGAAACATCAAAATGATATTTGTTTCCAATTTCTCTTGATGTGTAGTACTCATTTTCCATCCATTTTAAAAAAATTTGCTTTGATCTCAATCAACCTTTATTAGTAACCCAAACGAGGTTGAAACTGCTTCTTCGCTGTGACTCAGTTCAACTACATGGGCCTCGTCCAAAATCCTCAGGGGATTTGCGTGAATTTTACCAATGAATAGGAACTATATTTAGATAGCTAAGTCACATATGCATGCAGCTTTTTTCCCATTCAAGATTCTGGAGAGATAAATTTACCAGAACGTAAATACTTCACTCCCAGCTGATCCCCTCTTCAAATCAGAGAGATTGCCTGAGTTGGACTGAGTCGCAGACAAAACTTATATTTCTTAAAGACCGGTAAAACCATTTGACTTAGATCTTAAACAGATCAATTTATCTTTATCGGACAGGATGACAAAAGAGCAGATCTGGATTTAGATGTACATGTTCTCCCCGTTTGGAATCAAGGGATCACAGGAAAAGGTGTTGTCGTAACAATTCTGGATGATGGTACGTAGACTTTTCCTTCATTTAACTTCATAATGCTATTTAATTTTAACTCCGAATAAGCGCCACACCTCAATCTACTCGGTGTTCCCTTTTGTAAGTGCAATTTCCGTGTGCACGAGTCCGATGAGGATCGTGTTTGTTGTGACAAAATAGTTTTAAAACAGCCGTCTTGAAGCTTTTGCCTGAAGCAGGCAGTGAACGCAAAACAGGCCCGATTAAGAGTGAAATGATATACTGCGATCATTTTTCGATGGACTTACTCAATGTTACAGTCACTGATAAGTTTTTTAATAAGTTTTTTTTTTAAAGTTTGTTTCCTTTTGTTCACCACACTTCAGGTATTGAACACAATCATACGGACCTCATCAGAAACTACGTAAGTGAAAATCGCCGGTTTTATGCTGATAGCAAACTGCATGCATAGTTTAAAAGCTCTAATTGCAGATTTTCGTGTTCGGAATGTGTACTTCTATGAATAATTGCCGTCAATTTGATCTCCACAGGATCCACAGGCCAGTTGGGATGTAAATGGAGAAGATGGTGACCCATTTCCTCGTTATGATGCCACTAATGAAAATAAGTAAGTCATTTCTAACTTTACTCATAATCATTGTATGACTTACAAATTGTTATCGACAGTCTGCTTAAAACCTGAAGGGACGGCAGATGCCATTATGTTGACTATTGGACGATACATACTAGACTCCTAAATACTTGTTTTAATCAAAGATGTGGTTTGTTTATTTGTTTTATTTTTTGCAGACACGGCACCCGCTGTGCAGGGGAAGTTGCGGCTCAAGCAAACAACACCATCTGTGGAGTAGGCGTGGCTTACAATGCTAAGATAGGAGGTGAAAAAAGTCGGGTTTATTGGTTAAGCTTACCTTTTTGCCTTCGTAGCTTTTTATTAGGGAAGCCCAGTTTCTTTATCAATGCAAAGGGCTGAGATATGCTTAGTATAATATAAGAAAGTAAGGAAAAGAACTCTTCCTGATGATCTACAAATGGTTTCAGTGTTTCGGTGACATTTTCGTTATCATATTGTAAGTAATTTAGCCATCTAACATAGTGTGAATATATTTTTACAGGAGTGCGCATGCTTGACGGCCGAGTGACTGACAAAGTAGAAGCCGCGTCATTAAGTCTTAATCCCCAGTTCATTGACATCTACTCTGCAAGTTGGGGGCCTAGCGATGACGGAGCCACTGTGGAGGGACCTGGGACTCTGGCTGCTGCTGCATTTGAAAATGGTATCACAAAGGTATTGTGCACCACCATCACATTCTCTTGGTATTACAATATAGCTCCTCAAAATAACCACGGTAATCATGGACCATAATAAATGTCTTTAAAAATAAAAAATCATCAATCTCACAATCTTCTTATGTCTCACCCCAAAAGCCCATAATGTGGCTTTTCCTTCTAATTTCGTCTCTATTATAACAAATAGTCATACATTATATACGAATTGGGTCTCAACTAGCTACAAACTCTGCAGAATCTCGCAACCAACTACTCATAGCATCAACGGTTAATTTGGTTGCCAAGAAGAACAAACGTTTTACTTTCTGATGTACAATTACGAGGCACAGAGTGAATGTGAATTGTCAAGGCTCACTAGAGCTTCATATCACCGAGCCTTTACTAGACCAGAGTGCATCAGCGACACATGTAGATACGACCTTGTGAGATATGAGCGCTGATTATTCGACTAATATGTTTGTTTGTGACTTGATTTAGGGTCGCGGTGGACTGGGCTCCATTTTTGTGTGGGCATCAGGCAATGGAGGTCGGCACGAGGATAGTTGTAACTGTGATGGTTACACAGACAGTATCTACACCTTGTCAATCAGCTCTGCCTCCGATCACGGCGAGTCACCCTGGTATTCAGAAAGCTGTTCATCTACACTTGCGACAACATTCAGTAGCGGAGCACACGGCGAGAAACGAATTGTAAGTATATAAAATTTTACAGTAAATAGTTCGTACCCGAGGGGAACATGTGATAGTGTAATATGATCGTCCTGAGTCTGATCGTCCTGAGAAGAACTGTTGTCGGTAGTGGCGACTCGACAACCTGAGCGGAAGTCATCCGTCCAGAGTCAAACGAATAGTTGTCGTCAGTCGAATGTTCTTAGTCCGGTTCCATATCCGTGTCGCCCACAAAGCTATGACCACTTTACGTCAGCTGCTAACAAACGTCAAAGACAAGGACGAACCGAGGAACGGACAGGGAGCTTTTTATAACATCAATTGCTCCGACTGCCACGCTTTCTACATCGGAGAAGCTAGCAGAAACCTCACAAATTAAAAAGACTGACTGAACACAAACGGGCAATTTAATTTAATAATAAGTTCTTATATAGCGCATTAAAATTGAACTCTATGCAACGAGGAAAGGTGATGTCACCAGTCACATTGCTGAACATCATCGACTTACGAACAACACTATTGACCGCTGGGACTCTGCGCAATGCCTAACCTACAAAACTAATTACTTTCAACGACTGACTCCGGAAACATGGTTTACTAACTAAGAACTGAATCCCCTCAACAGGTGTCGGCTACTGCCACCACCATAAAATCGACTCATTCATGATATTAACATTGCAAACGAACCGAATAGAACGACCTAAATTTACCAACGGATCGAAACGACCAATGACGACCGACTTACGCCTCTTGAGTCTTGCAGCCAATAAAATTACGGCAAAACTGACTAATCAGCTTCTACGAACCGGACTTAAAACATTCGACTAACAACAACTATCGAGTTCAGCTAAGGTTGTCTAAAAGTCAGTCACCAGGACAGACTACAGTCCTTCTCAGAACTACACTCTCCCGGACGATCAGACTACACTATCATCTAGCAAGTTTGTAAACTCCCATACGGGGTTTTCCAATAAAGTGCGCGCGTCAAAACTGTGTCATTTTAGTATGAAAGGCTACTGGCCGAGGTAGATCATACTTCAGTGAGATTGTGGAAGAATGGAAATCTAATCTTTAAAAAAAACTTCTGTTGGCTTAGCTCTCTCCGGTCTGCTGGGCTGACTGTTTGTCGATCGTAAACGGTAGAATGACTCAGTTCTCCTTTCATAATTTAATCCAATTATAATAAAAAGGTCTCAAGGGCTGATTCAAACAGGAGGTAAAAGGAGCGATAGGTTGCAAAAACAGAGCCATAACAGTCAAACCATGCTAATTAGGAGACTCCAGACCCTCGATGGCTTTTCAATTTCATTTTCAGGTCACAACAGATTTACATAACGAATGTACAGAAAGACACACGGGAACTTCTGCATCGGCTCCATTGGCTGCAGGAATCATAGCTCTTGCCCTGGAAGTCAAGTAAGGTTTATTACACTTTGCTAGCTAGTTTCGCGGCCTTTAAATCTCATACTGATGGGGAAGATGGATTCAGCGATAAGTGGCGAGGGAAATTCTTCAATTTATAATGACTGCACTGGTGGTTTCGTTGGATCGTTTGGAAAAACAGCTTGATTCTAATTGGTAGTTTATACAGCCAAATATGCGCGTTCAGTCCAATATTTCAATACAATCCCATAGCCACACTACATCCTGTCGAAGACGCACTAAGAGAGGCTTAGTCCGTTTAAACAGAAGAGAGCCTTGAAATGACAGCTTGCAAGAACAGACAAACACCAACTAGCCTTAGGGTTAGTGACAGAAGCGCAAAGGTTAAGAATGGAAAACATTTAGTATCAAATGGTGAATCAAGATTTCATCTTGTGTGCTCTATTATTGTCTCACCCATAAAGAGTAGAGCTGTCGGTCTACCACGAGATTCTCCGTCTGTCGCTGTAATCCTTCCGTTTTTTACAAATACATGTAACAACATTTTAGAAGAGTTTCAACCAAAAGTGCTTAAACGACAGAAAACCTTGCACAAATCTTACTTTGTTATATTTTTGCCACAGTCCTCGCCTGACGTGGCGTGATGTGCAGCATATCGTGGTGTGGACATCAAACTGGGAACCACTGAAGCACGATCAGGACTGGAGCGCTAATGGGGTCGGATTACACGTCAACAGGAAGTTTGGTTTCGGACTGTTAGTTGCTGCAAAGATTGTTGAATTAGCTAAACCTAACACGTTTAAAACTGTACCTGAGAAGACCATTTGTAGGGGACAAATCAATCAGGACCGCAAGTAAGTTTTTGCTGGATTCCTGTGAACAAAAGCACGGAGCGATTAATTTTGCTTAGACAGAAGTAGCAAATGAAATTACTAAACACGAGTGATAATACCTCACTGAACAATTTTGATTTGCTAGGGAATGTTTAATGACAAAAGCAGCCAATAGATGACTTCAGTGAAAAAGCGAACGATACTGCATAGAACAATCAATCTAAAACAGAATTCAAAATTCAAAAACCTGTGTAGAGCAATAACTTACGACGTTTGATAACGCAGTATTCCGTACCCTTTTAGACCTATCAAATTCAACGAGCCATTGAAGATAACAATGCATTCGAATGGATGCTCAGGAACTGCTGCTGAGATTCGCTACCTTGAACACGTGCAACTCATGTTAAGCTTGGACTATACACGGCGAGGAGACCTAGTTGTGTACTTGACATCTCCCATGGGAACTAAATCTTGCTTGCTGTCCCCAAGAAAAGAGGACATCTCAGATGAAGGTTTTACAAAGTGGCCCTTCATGACAACGCACTCATGGGGCGAGGACCCACGAGGAACTTGGACCTTAGAGATAAAGGACCTTGGAGATAACAGACCAAATCATGGCCTTCTAACAGAGTGGCAGCTTATTATACATGGAACTAGACAAAAACCTAATCACCAACCTATAGAACATCCTGACAAACCACGTGACTCGGTTCCAGTGCCCGAATCACCGGCGCCACCACAGTTTCACCAAACAGTTCCTAGCGGACCGACTTACACGTTTGCTTCCTCTCAACCTACTCCTGTGAAATATATCGCACCTCAAGTGATAACCTACACAACTTCTCCAGCTCCAAACCCCTCCGTCCTGACAATTGCTCCCCAGTCTGTAGTTCCACTACATCAAGAACTAAAAACACCCAGTGATCAATTTACGTCGAACAATAAAGTAGGAGAAACAAAAAACACCTTCACTCCAGACCAGCAAGCTAACATAAATCCTCAACTATCATCTAAGGGAGCTCTTTTCTCACCTATACAACCTCTTCACAGCAACTATGTTCCAGCTAACTACCAACAGAATCAAATAGCTAATTACTATCACTATGCAGTAGCTCCTGCAAATCCAAGAGGTTATGTTACGCAACTGAATAACCCTGCAGTAGTGCAAACTAACGACCAACTGGCTTATCAACCAGCGGCTTGGAGACAGACCACACTATATCGTAATCCTTTACAATACAATGTCTATGGTAATTACCTTCGAACTTTTGGTAGACGAGGTGCTGGCAAATCTTATGTAGAATATCTTAAAACTAAGAAGAACAAGTTAAAGAAAGAAAGTTAATTAAATTGTGGGAATATTTTTTTATGAATCTTATTTACGCGTGTAAAATACATGGTACAAGTGTTTGGAATGAGGCAGAGTTTAATTTAGCTGAATTTTTGTTTATATATAAATGTTGCTCAGCGCGAGTAACGATGGGTAAATAATAGTCAAGCTGCGAGAATATGTATCTGGATGAACCAAAGCGGCAAAACGGGCGAGGTAAAAAGAGGTGGAGCATAAATTAGATAATTCAAATTGATGGATGAAAATATCGTCAATAGGATCAAACTGTCTTGAAGTTTGAGGTAATGTTTATTCTTTAATGGAAAAATGCCAATCTATAGAAAGGAAGATTTCTTGACGAGGCAAAATTCCCTACCTCTCTGTCTATAAAGTGTTGTATGAGAAGCAGCACAATTTAAATTGATATCTTGAAATCCGGTTTCTCTAGTTCAGCTGGCTGGGCGAGAAACTGTGCAAACTGGAGAAAAATTCAAAAGATTTGCACCTTTCCTGCATTCTTAGTTATTGTTTAAAGAGTTTTCTTCGAGTTTCCGGAGATGCTCAAAACAAATATTTAAGAGCTGAAGAATAAACATTTCCCTTCATCTTCCTATTTGGCTTAAACACGAGACTGTAAGGATGGGTCAATATATATTCAATACAAGCTAGCGTGGATCCGGAAATACCGTCATTGGCAAGAATTATCAATGCCTTACGACACTTCACGTAACCTGACCAGTGTTCCTTACTACACTATGCCTCACCCGGAACCTGCGTTCTAAGAGCGCAGTCGTGTGTAGTTTCTTCGATGTCAGTGGTGTGTTGGCGAGTGCTGTGTTAAAGGATAATGAACACTGGACGGTTAGGGTATCAATCTTCGACCTGTGTTTGTTTGTGCTGCTGATGCAGATAACAATCAATATTCACAGTGCGAGACAACCTTGTGATTGCTCAGGAAAGATCGTGTGACATGTTATTACACTAAATGACGTCACAGGGTCCACAAACTTTCTTTAAAAAGACAGTATGGGCCTGTTTTTATAAACCAGTGCGAACCTTTACACCAGTATGATTCTCAGCACAGCTTCTCTCAAAGGATTTGGGATGAGTGCAGTGGCTCTAGCGAAGCGTGTGCTTTGAATACAGACCTCAGTTGTGAATGTTACTATAAGCTATTCGAGTGATACTATATAATTGCCACTAGTGAGTGCGACTCAGAGTCATTATTCCTCTTCCTTAAGTAACTGAACCCAAAGGCCTCATATTCAAATTTATTTAATTGCATGGGTCACATGCATAGGTGATTTATTCTCAAAATTTTAATAGAATCTTATAAAATTTAGGACCAAGGATAGCTAAGGTAAATGGCACAAGTAACACTATGAAGTTAAAAGTGGATTGCCAGTCGTCTTAAATAGCCAGAAGAGGCTATGTTGCAAGGTGAAGTTCTTAACGTCTGAAGATAGGAAGAAATAGAATTGCTGCCTACCAAGTTGAATAATGAATGTTTTGGCTAACGCTAATCAGATCCAATCCGGTGTAGTGGGTTTGATTACGTACTTGAGATGATTGCTCAACACTATTGTCTATGTAAATACAGTTAATTAGGCTGTGGTAGGTCAACTAAGTTTACAATGCAGTAGCCTAATCTGTACCAGTGCTTACTGGCACGGGTTTGTGACGAAGACTAAAAAAAAAAAAAATCAACCAAGGAATAGCTGTCCTTTGGTGAAGTATTAAATGTTAGGGTTTGAAAATAAAAGGGTGTTCTTGCACAGTTTGTACGCTGTCTCAAGCCAGAGAGCATTATTAATGACCCAGTCCTTTAGGTGCTATTCATACTTTCAGGAGGCACCGAACACTAATTAACAAATGGTAAACACCACAGCGTACACTATTGAGTTATGGATGCACGCGGGAGGTTGCTAAGCACGAAAGAAGCGTAAGACTCTAGCTTCTTGAGTGCTTAGCAAACCTCCCAAGTGCATCCATAACTCAATAGTGTACGCTGTGGTGTTTACCATTTGTTTTATAACATAACATTGATACATTGTAGCTAGAGTTCCCTTTTATTTAACAAATCTTACGCGACCAGAAAAAACAAGCGCGCGCGGAAAAATAGTCTTTGCATTTGCTCACGTCACCAGCGTACACCCATGGGCAAATGGGGGACGCTAAATTGACCAATCAGAGCGCTCGCTTTACTTTGGTTATGTTATAGTTTCGTCTTCAATAAGCTTTAGTGCTAACCCTCGAAAAACCTGTATCTATGCCGCTTTTGCCAGCTCTCCGCATCCGTGAAATTCACTTTTAATAGTCATTGTCCTCTTTTCCTACTCGTGCCTGCTCTCCTCAGTGTATCTCGCCAACATGAAATTAAGGCCACTGAGCCCCCAAAACAAGAACTTTTCTCCTTTCCAAGCGTTGGGTTGCTCTGCCGCTCAAAACATTGAAAAAACACCCAGAAAGAAAGCGTTTAGAGCATTGCTCATTAAATCTAAGATCGCCGATACCCTGTTAACGTTAAATCAACCACAATAATGAAAACTTTGTAGTGCTGTTTTTTAAACCCAAAATCTATCTAGAAACAAGATAGAAGACAGTTGATTGGGTATTGTTTGTATACCATATTCGCCACAGGTAATAACCTTCTAAACTTTAGCCTATGAGCGGGTTGCTGATTAAAACATGTGGCCCTGCAGCTCAAGCATTTCTCCTCCTGGGGGGAGGGGAAAAGAACTTTCAGTCCTTGAGAGAAGCGAGTCAGTAAAAGATCTGCATTATTAGAGCGAGACCCTGTGTCAGCTTGGATCAGTTCAAGGCCACGAACTTCCTTTCAAGTGAAGAATTGCTCCAACAGAAGCACCAATAACAAGGGCCTGATCACAAGCTATCTAAGCTTTGTAAGCAAGGGCTCCTATGCACTTCAACAGACTGTCCCTCTTATGTGATCAACAAATTGAAAAGCCTTTTTTATCACACACAATTGGTAATCAAGAAATGTTTCATTCCATGTGTCATCAATTAAACACTGTTCTGTGCATGGGGGGATTCAGCATTTCAACAGTATAGTTTGGTCAGTGAGGGCTTCGACCATCTAATCATGTCAAAAACTTTTATTTACATTTTAATAACAAATCAAAAAGAACTTGCATGCAAACTGTTCTCTTTGTCATCAAACTTCTGTTTTCCTGAAGATCAGGTTAAGTCCTTACAGCCACTCCACTGCATTCCTTTGTTCTGAAGCTATACAATTGTGCAATCCTACATGATAGTGTAGTAGAGACTAGTCCTTGTGGCCTCATTACAGTGGCTTTATGAATGCTACAACATTTTACTTTAAGCTGCTATCACTAACAAAGTACACAGTATTGTCAATGATATCATCTCACCACAAAACCTTAGCAGCTTTAAGAGGATTTTAGTTTGTAAAATTAAAAAAGCCACAGTAACTTCAGGGATCCTCCAGTTTCAGATGTTAATGTTTTAGCTTTGCAATCTTGATTTTAATCACCTTCTTCCTCTACCCCTGCCTCTTCCACGCCCTCTGCCTCTCCCACTAGGAGCACGACCTCTTCCTCTGGCAGCTATCGAATGTAAATGTAATAAGTTTAAAGCTTTTTCCCAGCCTTCACACAATAAAATATAGTATGCACTTCAATATAAGGTTGAAGACCTCAAATTTTTCTCTTAATTATCATTTAATATGGTCAGAGCAACATTGTTTAGAAAGAAAAATATCCATGGTACAAAGAGGACTATCAAATTGGTCTTCAATGATATAAATATCAGGTTAAGTAACATTTCGTGGCATTTCTATTTTTGATAATGTAGTACACCAAAAGCAAGCACTGTGTAAATTTTGATATCGTCTTTTTTTTGTTTTGTTTTGAATTTGTGCCTTGATTGTCAAAATTGCAGAGGTTGATCTGGAGTATTTCTTTGAAGAAAACCACAAAGAAAGAAAAAATTTAAAGACTAATTTTCAGTACAAAATGCAGGGGACACAAATGATCACAGCCTTGCTCTTAACTGAAGTATGACTTAAGACTTAGTCTTAGAAAAACAATTACAAATACCACTTAATAAAAAGAATGTAACGTGAGAAAAACAACAAGAACATACCTGCTTCCTTCTTTTTAGCCTTAGCTTTGGGAGCATCATCAACTAAAAGTGTGTCTAATGGTAAGCTTTCTGGGAGAATGAAGTAGCGAATATTATTGCCCCTGATGCTCAGTGACTCTATCTGTACTGGTTCCTTGTGCTTTATAGTCATTTTCACAGCCTTTAAGTGTGTATTCATACTCATATCCACACCTATAGTTCAAGGGAGAAAAACAACATTCATCAAAATTACTGGTTTGAGCTCTCAAGTGATGATTAATTTTTAAGTGAGATGGTCCAAGTAGAGGGAAGTGCTGGAAATAATTGCAATATATCAGACAATCCAGCCAGGAATATCAAATACATGTTAAATATATTCTCCAAGCCTTTAAGACTTGATCTCTGCTCTATGTTTGGCTAATAGTACCAACCATTTTCAAAGATGGATCCTGGAATGCTAATTTACTGACTTCACGGCTCAACACTAACTTTTCAACTTACTAGCCAAGTGATTGGTAACATCTTAGATGCTACGACAATGTCAGTTTGTTTACTAGCCAAACTGGCTAGTGGAAACCAAAAACCACTGGCCAAAACTGAATTTCTACTAGTCTGTGGCTAGTGCGCTATTGTTAACGTTAGTGTCGAGCCCTGTGACTTACAAGAGGTTTCTCAAAAACTGGCTTGCCACATTAAACTGAAAAACAACTCTATGCCTGACTCTGACAGCAACCTATAATTATGTTGTTGAGTCATTTATAATGGTTTCAACAACCCTTCACAGGACTATCCTCACCTAGGGCCTGTTACTCAAAAGTCCATAATTTAAAAGCAAAATTTAACGAATAGAGGGGCAGTTTCTAGCACCCTTTCCAGTTCATTTTGTTTCTTTAGTAGATAGTTTTAAGTATAGTTTTCAAAACTTTTGAAACTTCTATCTTGAATGAAAACAGGACAGCTTTAAGGGCCTGTTAGGTTACAGGAACCTTTGAGAAACAAGCCCCTGGACCATCAAACCACAGACCAAAACCACAAATATCATTGTGTCTGTTAATTGATGACATATTTCACCCTTGCAACAGTTACTACAGAATAATGTTTCCTTGCACAGGGACTTCAGAGAAAACGGTTATAAATCTGAAGCTTGTAAGAAGGAAGTGTCACAATATTGCTGAGGTCATGACCCAAACAAAGATCAAAACCTTGCCAGGCATTGGAAACTCAGCTTAGGCAACTAATTTCCCACGGAAAAAAGACAGGTAGGATTTAATTTTAGAAATTATCTTGCTGCCAAATCATGGTATCTGAGCTATGGAGAGTTACAAAGAACTGAGAAGAAAACATATGTTTTGATTTACACCATCTTAACCCTTTACCAGCAGGCAAAGAACCTTATAATTTGGCCATACAAAACTTAAGCTCCCTTTGTTTGTTGTTATATGAAGTATCCCTTACAATATTTGCAGTTTTGAGACACCGTGGGTTCAGACTTTGGGGTCACGTGACCTAGATCATCCGCTTATGTTTGGATGCGTTCAAATGGATTCGTTTTCTCGCATTTATAAGTGTTTTTTGAGCCATTTTCCCTCTACAGAAGCCCTCAGGACAGCATCATTAAGCTGGAATGTGGGTAGAGGCAAGCCTCTGAAAGAAAACAGAGGTGAGAGGTGGTTTCATGTAGACTGGACTGCCAAAATGCTTTCATGCAAGCTTGGCGAGTTCACAAGTGAACTCATGTCTCTGGCCCATCTGTGGATGGCTACCAGGACCTACCAAGGCTTTTTGGGCCAGTTTTGAGTGGCAAAAGTCTCGATCGATGTGATATTTTGCTGGTAGGACTGGGTGGCCCGACACTTATAATAATGAGTTCAAATGGAAATGCGAGGTGTTGCCTTCTCAAGTTGTGGTGGAATTTGCCAGAATTCTTTTCGGTCATAAACGAGGAAAAGGTTGNTGCAATAGGTGTCACATCAAACAGCCTTTCAATGTACACACTTGTATAATGTTGTCTCTTAATTTCAACAAGAAACAAATAACAACAGTAATAGTAGTAATTACTACCATGTATGTGTGGCTTGCTGCTAAAGGGTTAAAGAGACTGACGTTCAATCCACGTTGTCTATGATTCATGTAAGCTTAGCAATCAAGCTAAGAGCAAGCCTATGCTATTCACCTCTGCAGAAAAAAAACAAACACATATAGTGCTCTAGCTGCATTCATACTCACCTGTGATGGTTCCATGAACAACTGTTCCATTTTTCAGTTCGATTGTCACAGTTTCATGGCTCAGTTTCATCAAAAATCTGTCAAAGAGAGGATGACAAATGAAGATAATCACGAAAGCTGCAGAGCTAGCAATGTCATACGACTTTAAAAAAACGAAACATTAAATTCGTAGTCTGCTCACCTAACAAGTTTCATGGTTGCAAGCTGAAGTTCCCAGATGCAACCGGATTGCAAAAATTACCAGTACTTTGAGGAACTCAAAGATGGCCGCCAAACGTGTGAAATCGTTTTGCCTCGACCCCATGCCCATGTGGAGACGCAGCCTCACCTGCATGATCTGTATGTTTGCCATGGTAACGTCCCGTTGCAGCAAAGGAAGGGAAAATCAAGATGGCTATGTCTGATGTGGATGTCAGTAGTTCTTTGGACCACGATGAAGAGCCTTTGGCTGAGCTCACCGACGAGGAACTTTACAGTCTCGTTCAGGAAACAGTGTAAGTAAAAGACAACCCCGGAAGTGATTATTTTTAAATTGGAGAATGGAAATTTAGCGGGAAAATTAGCTGATAAGTTAATCAAAGGTATAACTACATATAAGTAGCAACTTAAATGTTGCAACTTTCTTTGGTTAACTAACGGGAAAGAGTTCAAGGCTGCACCACCACATTCATTACTGTTTCGCAAAAAAGAAGCCCCTATTTTTTTGGTGAAATGTAACTTGTTTATCAAGTTACATTTTGCGAATAATTCTGACTACTGCATTAAAATCTTGATTAACCACGGTATGGTCCTTTTAGACATGCCAATGATGTTCTCAAAAACGAGACTACGATGTTTGAAAAATACCTTAAGAGAGTCGATCCGAAGGACATTGGACTCCAGCAAACCGGTAAGTTGCAGAGGAATTTCATTTCTCTTGATGTTAGGTAATGGGGAATGTGTAAGCCACTATTTGGATCAGTGTTGTGTGTTAAAATCATGCACATAGAGATTTGTACTGCATTTAAACAGTAGGTTTATTAGAAATGATCCTGCAAGCACATAATCAAATGTTCCATTGAAGCTACTCAAGGCCCAACCCAACCTGTGATTGAACAAAGTCATAGAGGACTTAGAAAAAGATCAAGATCAAGAGGACCATCATTAGACAGGTAACAAAATTGATAGCAATAACATATAAACAAAAAATCTGATATTTACAATCTAGTATTGTTTTAACTAACAGAAATGTTGTAGTTTAAATTCAGGTAGAAATGATTATAAAATAGTCTAATTTGTACCTCACTTTGTTTGCAATAAATTATTGCAATTCTTAATCAAAGAAACATGCAAATCAACAAAGTTTGATATCACTTTGTCCTGAATTCCCTTTTAACCTACAACACAGATTTTGTGATCCTCTTTAAGTTGTGTATGGAAATATTTTGGTAATTTTATGAAAAGTTATGAAAAAAACTAATTTTCTCTTGTATCAAATTTTGTACTCTTAAGGCATTTGAAATTAAATGCAGAGCAGAAGTGTGACATTGCCCAGCGTGAACTGGAAGAACTTAGAGATGATATTGAGAAACGCAGGGATGAATCTGAGAAGATCCTTGATAACTTCCGGGTATGTGTGTCTTGTAATACAGGGTTTTTCTGGGTCATGGAAAAGTATAAAATTATAATATCACCATCCAGTCTCGAAATTTTGGTATGGATCATTGAAAGTTGTGAAAATAACAAAGAAAACAAAAGCCTTCATTACATGATCATTTGGTAATAGAACTGAGTGGAGTTGAATTTGGTTGGTGATGTTATGAGTGTTCAACAAAATTGGATGACTGCCACAGCTGGCTCAACAA